GAACAGTGCCGACGATGAACAGATGAAAGTGTTGAGTGAACAGATAAGAGAAGAAACTGGTGGGCGATCTGATTTGAACACGTTGGGATTTCTATTAATACAAACTCGTGAATACCATAAAGCTGAACGATATTTCAGAAGACTCATAAGTGATACGTTGTCAAACGACCCTGCCATGGATACGTTTTACAACAACATTGGTGGAGTTTACAATCTACAAGGCGAACATTCTCAAGCATTGAAATACTATCAGGAAGCTCTCGAAATCCAATTAAAGACTTTGGGATCGAACGAACTAAGTGTTGCAAACAACATTGGTTTAGCTACCAATCATCAAGGCGAATATACTCAAGCATTGAAATATTATCAGCAAGCTCTAGAAATCCAATTAAAGACTTTGGGACCGCATCATCCAAGTGTTGCAAAAACCTACAACAACATTGGTGGAGTTTACGAAAATCAAGGCGAATATTCCAAAGCATTGAAATACTATCAGCGAAGTCTTGAAATTGAGTTGAAGACTCTGGGTCCGAACCATCCAAGTGTTGCAACAACGTACAACAACATTGGACTGATTTACAATAATCAAGGCGATTATTCTCAGGCATTGAAATATTATGAGCAAGCTCGTGACATTGATTTGAAGACTTTGGGATCGAACCATCCAAGTGTTGCAACAACGTACAACAACATTGCACTGATTCACACAGATCAAGGCAAATATTCTCAAGCATTGAAATATTATGAGAAAATTGTTGAAATCCAATTAAAGACTTTGGGATCGAACCATCCAAGTGTTGCAACAACGTACTACAACATCGGTGCTGCAAAACTTAACCAGCGAAGTATCGCGTTACGTGGACAAACCGTTAGGAACTTAACTAGAAAAATTTGAGCCTCGTATAAATTGCGCGTGTTTTTTCAAGAGACAGTCTCCAAGACTATAATAGGTGAGTTTGAGGTGAACATTTTCAATAAAGAAATCAAGAATAAAGTCATATTTTTAGCATGAAAAAATAATACTATTTATCGAGATGTTTCATCAGTTGGCATCGGGTCAAATGATCAGTTCTATGGCCTATTTCCAGTCCATGTTCAGTTATCCGGAAGAAGTTCTTGCCATAGAAAGGATCTGTGTGCTTCTTCCTGATTCTTTTAAAAAAGAATAATATAATTTACTGGAAACCGTGAAAAGAATAATCTATATCACTGAAACTATACCGCCTCTGTCAACCGTTTCCTTTTAAAAAACTTCTCTTTGTGTTCGTTTAAAGATCTAACAATTTGAGAATGATGCAGTTTGACAGAATCCATTTCCGTTACTAATATATTGTTAATCAGCTCTTACCTGCATCTAGAGAACCTAACATAACGGTGCCACACAGAGGTTTACAATAGTATATCACCGATGTGATATTTTCAAAAAGTTATTCTGAAGCTTAGCTCCAATCTCGACTTGTGTTAGAATAAGAGAAAGAACCAATTTCCTTAACGCAAAAAATAGCGCTCATGCTAACCACTATTTGACCCGTTTGGCCTTCGATTTTGGCCAAAATATCTAGATGCTTTAGCTGAAGTATCGGTCGATATTTTTTACTCTTTTTATCTAGATATATCAGTTAGAGCATCGAGTTAGCTAGCTGCATCGGTCGATGTATTGCCCAATATATTTGAATGCACCCAGTTTATCCCGATGAAAATGTCAGTTCATGGACAATGCTATCTGGTTGCATCGAGAGAAACATTTATCTGCATCTATATGCGTCGACCAGTAAATTGACTACCGAGATGCACTGGGCGCTACTCGATGCTTTTCCTGTGCTTGAGCATTGTTTCTCTTTCAAACTAGGACACTATTCTGTCGATCCTCACCGATGTTGTTGTACGTTGTTGCAACATTTGGATGGTTCCATCCCAAAGAGTTCAACTAAATTTCAAGAGTTTGCTGAAAATGTTTCAATGCTTGAGAATATTCGCCTTGATGTTTGCAAACCAGTCCAATGTTGTTGTACATTGTTGCAACACTTCGATGATTCGGTCCCAAAGTTTTTAACTCAATTTCAAGAGTTTGCTGATAGTATTTCAATCCTTGAGAATATTCACTTTGATATTTGTAAACTGCACCTACGTTGTTCTACGTTGGGGGTTCCGGAATCTCGCCAAATAAGACTTTCGCCAATAGGATATTTGCCAATGGCGAATGTCCACTGTACTTTCGCCAATATACCCCCTGGAATTTCGCCAATTGGCGAATGTCCACTGTACTTTCGCCATTTTGACCGTGAATTAGACGTGGATTAGAAAAGTTCTTAGTATTTAGTTTTTTATTTTTTGTCTTACTTCTGTTCACATGTGTGTGCGCGTGATCTTTAGTATTATACTGACTGTGGTACACGTTTTCGTCTCTCTATTTTCTTTTTCTTTTTCGTCTATTTTATTTCTTTCATTGTTTTTTTCGTCTAGTTGTGATCACTATTATTCTAGGTCTATATATTGCATCATCTTTAGCTATCTCTGTCTATTTTTTCTTTTTTCTTTTTTGCCACATGGAAGGAAAGGAAAGAAAAACAAGAATAATGTTTCAAAATCAGATTCATCAGGTGCATCGTCAGATGAACATTAGGTTACGCTTTACTTATATTTTCTTCATATTAATCTCGCTTTTTTCTCATTAAAAACATGGCTCGCTCATATGCGAATATATCCTAAGTGTAAGCTATGGTATATATATTCTAACAACATTAGCTTCACTCCTCACATGTATCCTATGTTAATATTATTTCGTGACAGCTGACGAAAGTCCACTGTACTTTCGCCAATACACCCCCTGCACTTTCGCCAATACACCCCCTGCACTTTCGCCAATACACCCCCTGCACTTTCGCCAATACACCCCCTGCACTTTCGCCATTGGCGAATGTCCTGTTGGCGAAAGTCTTATTGGCGAAGTTCCGGTTACCCCTACGTTGTTGCAACACTTGGATGGTTCGATTCCAAAGTCTTCAACTCAATTTTAAGTTACTCGTCGAAAACTATCGTCCTATTTCACTATTGTCTAATGATGGTAAAGTGTTTGAGAAACTGATTTACAAGCATGTATCCTCGTCTCTATGCACAAAAAACCTTTTTAATCCAGCTCAGTTTGGATTTCGTCGAAGTACTTCAACCGTACTTTTTTCTTCTGCTCACCCAAAAAATTTACCAGCATCTAGAGAAAAAGTGCAAATTAATGGTTTCTGCGGGCTCTGTTTTTTCTTCTTCTGTTCGAGTGTCGTCTGGAGTTCCTCAGGGCAGTATTCTTGGCCCGATTTTATTTCTCATATTTATAAATGATCTTACACCATCTCTCAAATCTTCTCTTCCTTCTTGTCGTTTTGCTGCTGATGTCTTTCTTGTCACAAACATTTTCGAGGCTCAAAAATGTATCAATGAGCTTGTTCTCTGGTGTGATATGAAGGTGGTCAAATTAACCATAAACAAATGTCTGTGGATTTTATTTTCAAACTCTAGTAAAATGCTTTCTTCATTGATTCTACATAAAAAAAGTTGATATAGAAAGAGTTTCGTCTCTTAAGCTTGATGGCATGATAATTTCATATAATTTAACGTGGAAGGCACACATTGAATATGTGTCAACGAAATCTCGTCAAATGTTAGGCTCTGTGTCATTTCGTGACTAGTCGGCTGATAGTATTTTAATGCTTGAGTATACGACGAGGATAAATGCATGTAAATCAGTTTCTCGAACACTTTACTAACATTACTACTAATACTTATACCAGACAATAGTGAAATAGGACGACAGTTTTTGACGAGTAACTTGAAATTGAGTTGAAGACTCTGCGATCGAACCATCCAAGTGTTGCAACAACGTACAACAACATTGGTGAGGATCGACAGAATAGTGTCCTAGTTTGAAAGAGAAACAATGCTCAAGCACAGGAAAAGCATTGAGTAGCGCCCAGTGCATCTCGGTAGTCAATTTACTGGTCGACGCATATAGATGCAGATAAATTTTTCTGAAATATATACTAATCTTTCCGGGACTTTTGATAAACCCGGCAACAAGGTCACACAGTGGGCATTCAGGTGGAAAATTAGAAAAAAACTGTGAGCTTGCTTTTTCGTAATTTAAATAGTGTTTCATATATTTCGAGTGACGGCCGATTTAATGGCGAAAGAATTTTTATTCTAAGACTTATTCTTCTATAAAAGATTTGAAATATAAAAACACCATGTATATGCGCTATTTTTTCGGGAAATTTCGATTTTTATTGAAGGATAGTAAATTAGAATGAAACCGAGATCATATTCGAAAAGAACACAGTCAGACGAATACGAAATAAAAAGAATTTTGTTTTTCGAGTGAAACTTAAGAGTTTTGGAATGGATTCTTTCGAAAACGGTCTAGGCTGTAAAGGCTCTCCCTGGTATTTTGAGAACGCACAGCTTCGCACAGGTCTGAACTAACATATTTTTATACCAAAATGTTCCTCGCGAAGTCGTACATCTATGGTGAATGCGCAAAAATGCGCATATTTTCCTGGAATGAGATATTGGTTTTCCAAAATCCCTCGGTTTTTGAGGTAAACTGACCTTTTCGCACTCAAAAAACATTTTTTAATTGTATGCACCCAACGATGCATATTTTTTTGAGAACAAAATGTTTAATCGATGACAAATACATAGTCTGGGAAATAGTGCACGTGTGTAAAGAATGACTAATTTGGTTCCTTTTTTATTCAACTAAAGTATTTGCGTTTTTAGTGATAATGATCGTTAGCACAGAATTTCGCAATTTCATAATATATGAGATGTACGTCTTCCTTCTCATTGTTTATGCAATAGAAATATCGTAAAGATTACACAGCAAAAATGGCAAACACCACTAACTCGAACAATACATGTTTTCTAGCTGCTACTGATCATGATGAATCAAGCAGTTCAACAGAACTACAACAGCAATATGTACGTATACCTATATATAACTCATGCAATAAGTCAGCGGCACCATCAATCTCCGGTGAACAACCGATACAAGAGGTAAAACTATCGTTAAAATCTAAAATATTTTTACTACTTCTCCCAAATCTTTGGCTTGTTCTACTTATTGAGAATAAACTATGTGCAACGTTTACTCCAATATTTTTTTTACCCACTATTCTGTTAATATGGAAATGGTGGAAAATGCCCAGAGTCAACGCAGAGCTGGATTTGATAGTTCGATTATATGCCATCGGATTTACAACTGGTTGTTTAGTAGTACTAATAATTGAAACATTATTAACTGGTATTTTTGCTCGACTTTGCTTTATTGATCAATGGGAGAACTATAGGAACAGTACGGACCAAAGGATACTAAACGCTAATCGGACATTTGGTTATTATACGTTTTTTGCACTAACATCCTACATTACGGCGAGTTTTGTGGAAGAAAGTTTGAAGTATTGGGCAATCAACAGTGTAACAAAGACAACAGCCAATACGAGTGGATATCTAATGTATGCGTTAGCAGTAGCGCTGGGTTTTAGTACGATAGAAAACATTGGTTATTTGTATAAATCGTCCTTATCAACAGATAAAATATGGGAAATTGCTGCTTTAGCAATTTTTCGAGTATGTATCAGTACACCTGTTCATGTGATGAGTGGTTATTTGATTGGTATAGGCATCATACGCAGAGATTTAAAGCAAGAACCGCTGAAAATATGGCAAATACTTTTTTTGCCAGTGTTCTATCATGGCACCTTTGATGTTTTATTAATGATACATAGCTCGCTGAAAAATGATGAATTAGGTGGTACTGCTGCAAGATTGGTAGTAGCCCTTATATCTGTGTTCGTTATACTTACTGCCGAGTTACTGACAATACGATATCAACGCAAGAAATATGCAATAAACGATGGTGATCTCATCACATAGAAACACTATGACAATGGAAACATTAACTACAATGATCATCTAGTATAGATCAGACAAATATTCTCTCACCAAATATCCACTATATCGACAATCGAAAGATTATGGTTGTAAGACCGCTGCAGTTGAATCATGAGTAACTAGTTTGTCAATATAGTTTTCTTGTTAAATATACGTTTGTTCGAAGCATTTTCATAGAAAAAACATACACTGTCGACCTGGGGAAAAATGATGTTGAATTTTCAAATTGATTATACTGTTCTTAACATTTCTATACATAAGGATTTAATTACACAATTAACTATGTCAGCAACTCTACATTCTAACATATAAGATGCTATAGAAAAACGAGAGTTTTGGGCAATGCGCCACGCTATTTTTGGCAGGAACATGTGTTAATGACAATTCCTTAGAAAGAAGCAAGAGAGACTGTCTTGCTTTCGTTTTGGTCATGTGCCTCTGCTATTTTTGTAGGTGTGGAATTGCGTGTATATGTCAAGGGGAAAACAGCGTACTTCAAGTACACCGAAGTACTTTAAAATTATGCTAAAGTATTTTGAAATTACAGAAAAGTACTTTAAAGTAGCTCAAAGTACTTTACAGTAGCCATATTAAATACAAGTACAAAGTACGCTGTTTCCCCCTTGGTATATGTGTATGTTATTACTATAGAATCACATAAAATTAGTACTATTGTCCGTTCAAAAAAAAGAATGGTCCATGACTGTTTTTTGAATAACTTTTGATAGAAAAGAGCTAGGTAGCTCTGGTTTTCATCATTCAATAAAAGAGACTTGCGGACATGTTGGCATAACCAAAAGTTTCTCGGAAGAGTTTTTCTGTAACAGGCTTTGAGAAGGTCTTTGGAAAACTGGGCCGTGTATAAAAAGTTTCGAATAGGATTGTATTGATTTTTTTCATGAGCTGATAACGCGGGGTGTTCCTTTCAATATGGGAGTCAAACGAGACCTTCATTTTCCGAGATTAGTGTTCGTTTAAAGATCTAACGAACTAAGATCTGATGAGTAATCGATTATGCAGGATGTACAGTATTTATGCTGTGCTATATCCTATTTAAAGGATATTTCGACAAAAATTTTACAAAATCCTGAGGATTTCCGAAAGGGTTTCTGAAAAACTTATTAACAAAAATGCCATTTGTATACTTTGCAACCGTATAATTCTTAACACACAGCGTTTTCTTTGAAAAAAAACACGTATCATTTTTCGGAAAACAGAATATACGTGCACTATTTGAACTTACGCCGGTGACACTGTTTTTTCATTTAACCATATTGCACTGGAGAGAAACTTGAAATAACTGTACCTAAAAAGCCTTCACTCACTTTATTTTGGCAGTCAAAATTGACATTGGATAAAGATGATTTGTATTGTGTTTGCTTTTTGTTATCCATATTAAAATCAAATACAGTTTGTATTATAGAGTTACACAGGAATATATGAAATCCGAATGATGGTGGTTAAGCAACGTCGGGCTCGGTTAGTACTAGGATGGGTGACCGCCTTGGAATACCGAGTGTCGTAAGCTTTTTACTTTTTCCCTTGTTTTTACGTGTTCTTCTTTTGTGTATGTAGAAGAACGAATATTCCTCTTCGATTTTTTCGGTCTGATTTTCACGTTTATAATTCAAGTAGGTTTTATGTACTTAATACAATTTTAATTCGTGAAGTGGGCAGCGAAATAAATTTATAATGAGGACTATGTTTTTCGCATTATAAAAGATGAGCAAAATAGACAAATTGTTCGTTTCTTATATTGCTGTGAACAGCTAGTTTAAGATGTTGTAATGTGATGTGAAAATTTTTCAAAAAAAATATGTTATTTTGTTCACAATTCAATGCTGATTCTAACCATAATAGGCTTCAAAATATTTTGAGCAGGAAACATGCCTTATCCGCCACCGTCCTTTATATGAGTCTCTTTTGAGTTTTCAAACGGGGGAATGCGCTGACCAGGTTTGAAGATAAATTTTTGTCTTAAGTGAAAGCTTGTTCATCCTTTTTCACTTTCATTCCGCCTTATTTTCACATATAAATGAAGATCTGTGTCACTTTTGTTCAATTTTAGAACGAACTAAGATGATAATATAAGATAATTCAGTCAGAAGAATCTTGAGAAACATTGTTATTTAACGAAGAAGTCGATCAATTTTAATTACTTGCCATAAAAATCACAAAAAACATATATGTTATTGTCCATCATATGTCGGAGTAGTTTATTCAAGTGACTGTTATAATCCTGCTTGTGGATATCATTATCAGAATTCTATTGAAAGTTGTGCGACTTCTGACAGATACGGTGATAGTTGTGAGAATTCATCTGCATACTATGAGCGTGAAGCAACAAAAAAAAACAGCAACAATAGACTCATGTCGATATTTCAACAGTACGCTCGATAGATCATATGCAGTTGGAACGGCACATTCCAGATATTGTTATCGTACCGAAGTAGAAAAGTTTAATTCAAAAAACGATCAAAAGTGAGAGAAGAGTATCAGAATTTGCTTCAGAATTGATAAAAGCATAAAGACGCGAGCAAGTGTCGTAGTTGGCGTTCTCTCGAATATAGGTTAAAGTTCCGACATTTTTTCTGGCTGGGTCACGTTCGGTTTGAACTTTTAAAAGGTAGCGCTAAGGTTGGTATGTCATAGGATAGGCTGTGATTAGTATTGGGAAGGTTGATGGGAAGTTGTAGGGAAAAGGTAGAGTTAAGATTTGGAGGTCGTAGAGTAGGATTAGAGTTGAGAAAAAGTCAGACTTGCACATCTCTAAATTCGCGTGTCTCACTTTCTCACTGCAGCTGCCAGGAGAATATTGAACTCGACATTAAAATCAAAAATTTTTCTGCATATTTTTCGTGAAAAAACATATTACAAAGAATTGATTTCGACCTGTTTGACTTTTTTCTAGTTTGAGAAAAAATTTGGCCGTTTCTCGGCGCTCCGAAAGACATAAACCGTGCTTTTGCTACTTTTTTCAGAAGAATTTGTGCATTGCTATGCGATTTTTCCGGCACATTTAGACGTTTTATGCGCCTTTCCGGATCATTTGTAAGTTTTTTAAGTTAACCTTTTGGTAAAACGCTTAAGATAAGTACCGCAAAACGTGCCGAAAAAATCGCATAGCACGCACAAATTCTTCTAAACAAGTAGGAAGAGCGGCTTTTTTCTGAAAACGCTAAGAAACGGCCAAACTTTTTCACAAACTAGAAAAATGAGCGTTTTTCTTTCAATCAAACATGTCGAAAGCGGTTCTTTGTAATATGTTTTTTCATGTGATTGTTGACGCACCTTGTTAGGAAACTTTGAGTTCATGACTGAATTTTACTTGCTTTTCAGTACCTGACTAATGTGTTGGTGTTCGAAAACACGTGAAAGGAAGAGCTAAGTTTTTCCAAGAAAAATACGCAGAAAAAGTTTTAATTTTAATGTTGAGTTCTGCGCTGCCCAACTTCGGGGGTCCTGGGTGGCCACGAAGTGAATAAAACTTTAAATTGATAGAAAGCGAAAGTCAGAGGCTATGTTTCCGAAATCTGCTTTACCAGTTCCACTATCTAGACACAGAAGCAGCTTAGCCATTATTTTACCAGTTCGTTCATTATGGTTTTGTAACGTGATTATATTGCGTTACACAAACCGAAAATTCGAAAGGTTTCTAATCGCTCACATTTTCCTCTGTAGTACACAACACTTTCAGATCAACGGTGTGATTCCCTTCGTAATCAATAACAATAATTTCGAGCTTTTTATTCATGTTTGCTTTCTGCATGTCGGTGTTTTTTTTTCTAGTTGGAGAAAAAATTTGGCCGTTTCTCGGCGCTCCGAAAGACATAAACCGTGCTTTTGCTACTTTTTTCAGAAGAATTTGTGCATTGCTATGCGATTTTTCCGGCACATTTAGACGTTTTATGCGCCTTTCCGGATCATTTGTAAGTTTTTAAGTTAACTTTCTTAACGCTTAAGATAAGTACCGCACACGTGCCGAAAAAATCGCATAGCACGCACAAATTCTTCTGAAAAAATAGAAATAGCGTCTTTTTTCTGAAAACGCTAAGAAACGGCCAAATTTTTTCACAAACTATTCATCTTCACCAAATGAACATTCCACTTGTCTTCGCTTTTGTCTTGAGAAGCTCGCGTAGTTAACTTACATGAATAAACGTCTCAGATTTTCCTTTCCACCTTTGTTCGTACTGTTACTAACTATGTTAAGTTGTATACTTTTGGTATGCACTGTTGCTCTAAACTACCAAAACAATAGCAACAACTTTTTCTTCTTCCGTTCGCTGAATATATTCGCAACTATCATTGACATTATCAAATATTTCAACATAATTTACTGCTTGACGTATCATGTGTTTTGACGATTTTCTTCTGTAAAATTTATATTCATACCACACCAAATAAGATAATAGTTTTCTATATTAGAGTGAGATAATTATGACGGGTTTGGCGTTTGAGTAACTATATGTTTTTCCATAAACTGTGTACCTGATTGAAACTCTTTACACTAGTGAATAGACTGAGTTGAGGGTACTCATGTACTGAGCAAGTTCCAGCAGGATATTCGTTTCGGGTACTTTGAAAATTTTTCAGTAACTTTACTAACACGAGTACCTTCTCAGGTACCTATATCAATATGTCTGCCGAGCGAGTACCTACTGGGGAATTTGTATCAACAAATGTACGGAGAAAAGCCCAGCAAAGTACCGGAGCAGGTACTTGCGCAAGCAGTTCTGTGGTTTATAATGCGAGATATAGTAATGCACTTGAACAAAAATGAACTCTATAAACCCTAAGTAATTTTCTGTGCCAGATGTCACAATTTGTTATCGTTACTGCTGTCTTAAACAATTAAACATGGGATTTAGGCATGGGTGAGTTCCAGCCCTTAAAAGTTCAAGCCGAGTCTGAGTCCTTAACATCACCACTCTGAGTCCATTTCGAGTCCGGTTATCTTTTAGATTCTTTTTTGATGATTGCGGGTTATTTCTTTTTTTTCTGTGTCATTTAATATGTCAATCTTGTTGAAACAGAAAAAGTTACTAAAGTAAACGTCTGTTACATTTTAACAATGCCAGTTGAGATAGATTGTTTTTCGTAAAACGTGCTCTTTCGCGTCTAATCAAAAATTGAGATTAAGAAAAAATACGCTCAATGGGTGCCGATACAGCCGGAACACATAAAAGTTTTCTAGCTAATTCTCTATTCTGTAAGAGTGTATCAATAGATATAAGGGTGTATTCTGTCTGTTGTGGTGTTGTTACTCCAGGTCAGAGTGTGTAGAAGTATTTTTTTACTTTTTCTGCTTTCCTACAGCGGTTCTTTTTCGTAAAGTCAGCTTTGTTTGTAAAATAAAATCAAGTTCAAGTTCAAATGAACATCAAACGAGAGAGAGAGAGACACATTAACATAAGAAAAAGGGAGAGTGATGTGTATATGATGACCGAAGAGAGAGAGCAATAAATATATAGCATAAATTGAACAAGAATACAGTGAAATGAACAGGATGAAAGGACAATGAGAAGAATGACATTATTCTTTACACACAGACTTCAAATGAGACGAATCCCCTGTGAATAATAATCAATACAAATAAAGACGACTCGGCAAGGAAAATTCGCTTTGAACGAAAAAACAAGGTAAGTCAGCCAGTATTGGCTGACTTATTATTCCCAGATATAATCAATGGTATAGAGTTCTCGAGATTGGTTTTGGGTAATTCCATCGAAAGTCTACTACGTTAACATTCGATGTGTTCGACCCAGCTGGAATGCCAGACAAGAGATCTTGGCTAAAGAATATTTATCGAAAAAATTTTCAACTAAATATCAGCATCATGACCTCCCAGTCAGTCCAAATATACCGATTTTTGTTAAAACTGGCGTTTTTGGTATCATCTCTTTTTTAACGAAATGTATGAATTTTCACACATAATCGTGTTCTCCAAGTCGTGTAGCATCGAAAAGTAAATAAACGATTTAAGTATATAGGTATATGACTCCGTACTCATACTTGACAAGCCGCATGATTATCAAATGAAGTTCAAATTATTCATAGTATTAGAACATCATCTACCTTTTCCCTATTTGTTCTACAGGATTTACGATCGGTGCTGTGGTGACGGTGTGCGGTGGTGGTGGAGAAAACTAGAAAAATGGAATGTGATTTGATGTTTCAGAATGAGAGACCAGTGAAGCAGCTATAGCTACTGAATGACATGCAGAATGAATACAAGTACGGAGAGAGAGAATCTAACTGATCCTGATTTCTCTCAAGAAATGGTTGAAAATTCAGTTTACAGATCAGAGTCTTAAACTAAGCGCACCCGAAATAAGGCTGTTTCGGTACTCAGGTTCGGCATATTGTGAAAGATTCCAGTGGGCAAGGAGAGAGCAGAAATGCATTATTGGATGACTATCTTCATTTGTAAAATACGAGTATATACGATATCTAAATGCTGTTCACAACTTCACCGACCATGCAACTAACTTGCTAGCTCATAACCGTCGATACATATAGATGAACAATGATAGAGTCACAAACAGACAGAGAGAAAAAAAGATATGGTCAGTGGGCTGACGGCATGGACTGTGCCAAAAATGAATTTTTGGCCAGTGAAATTAATTGAGTGAAAAGTTCACAGACATTCAGTTTCGAGCTTTTAGTGATAAATCCAAAAGAACGGCTGGATTCTTCCAGTCAATTCTGAGAAAACCGATATAGAGGGCGCTGTTTTGCTATTTTTCAGAATTGACTGGGAGAATCCAGCTGCTCTTTTACATTTATCGCTAAAAGCTCGAAAGTGAATTTCTGTGAATTCTTCACCCAATCAATTTCACTGGCCAAAAATTACTTTGTGATACAGTCCATGCCGTCAGTGCACTGACCAATAAGAGAGAAGGATAGGATAGGCTGTTTGGGTGTACATGTAATTTGTCGATGGAATAGAGAAAGAGAGAGATAATAATAGAAACATTGTATTTTGAAAAGAAAAACTGTTTTCTCTCTGACTTTGTTGCTAGTTTATTGCTACTCGATTATACTGCTTACATTTTATTTTCATGTACGGTTAGATTAATATAATAGTTTACATACAATTTTGAAAAAATGACTGTATTATTTGTAAGGTTGTACCTAGCATCTCAGAGAAGGGAATTGGTCCTATTTTTGCGTTCGTCCAAAAAAGCTTTTTTCTGAGAGTAGGGCGCTGGTAACCACTCGCACAATTCTCCAGCAAGTACGCTCGTAATTATTCGATCATGGCAATTTGGTTCTTCTTTTGTTTCTGTTAGAAAGCTTTTTGAAAGTATATTTGGCTTTTTCCATTGGTTCCTTGCAAGATAGAATTTACTTTTTTATAATTAAATATAGCGAAGAATATATAAACAACTTAGTTCTTTGTTTAAGCATTTTTATTGTTTTTTATGTGTGCTACACTTGGTTATTATACTCTTAAACATGCGCACTATTGGTTTTTCATACAAAATGTCTTTAAGTGTAGTTTGTTTGTGAATAGGCATGTACCAATACCAATCATTATTGAAGATATTGTACAATATTATTGGCTCTCCAATAATATTGGGTCCCAATATTATTGTATACCCAATATATTAAGACCAATGATTGGGTAATATTGAGTTCTACAATACACTGGATTTCAATTTTTTAGCGTTTTCGATTTATTATATTTTCTCTCTCTATATATATAACATCAAAATTTTTCTACCACTTCAGTTTAGCAGAGCAAACATTTTCCTACAAAATGAGACATTCGGCAGTTCTAAGTGCTTTTTTTATAACTGATTCCGAACGACTTTGCTGAATGTCCCAATATCGATTATAATCGGTGTATGCCTAATTGAGTTATATTTTGATTCGAAACGGGATATAAAGCATGCATCTGTACTGCAAAAGTAGACCGAACTCAAGTGACCAAATACCTAATAATATTATGAAAACCCAATATAGTGGGGTGACCAATATTATTGGGACTCAATATATTGTATTGGTACTTGTCTATTTGTGAAAGCCAAATAACATTCAGCTTTTGCTCAATACTTTCCACTAGGCGAAGCGTAATTTTAGCATACATGAACCCAAAACTTAGGTTTTTTGTATAAAAAAAGAAGTAATTTCTATCTTTTTAGATACTTTTACCAATATGTCGGGCAAAGAGCAAGATTCGGATATACTATCCGACGATGACAATTCGGATCGATCTGTGTGTAAGTATTTTAATTCTTTGCATGTAATCGAAGTTAAGAACGGAAGACGTATTGTTTTAATTAGAATCAACCTTACAATATTATAGCTCACCACTATTCTTTTTTGGACATTAATAGAATGTATGTTGGTTTTTTCCTAACTTTTTATTCTTGTCTCTTGATCAGATTTGGAATATTGCGGATGTGATCCAACGGATACAAGTAAAACAAACATTTACAAAGAACGATTAAAGTCAATATTTGGAAAAGTTAATCCACCTGGACAGTTTTGTGGAGGTGATCGCTTTATTTGTAAAGATGTCTCCATTCCTCAATTACATATCGTGGGAGTAAAAGATCAGCTTGTGCTACCATTACAAATACCTTACGCGCAATTGATTATTGAAAAATGTTCACTTGCACCATTTGGAAGACAATATCAAACAATTTTGGATAAAACGGTATGCTCAAACGTCTTCGTTTTTGACGAGTCAGAAAAGTTCAAGTAAAACGACGACGACGTGTTTCTTCTATCTGGGAATATAAATTTACGCAGAGTAAAAACGAAATAACGTTCCAAACACCAAAAAATAGTCTTTTTCGAGAAATCTAAGCTGTCTCTGTTTCGTAGCCCAAGAATACAAACATATTCCATCCTCCGTTGAACTGATTACAACAATGATAATTATCGTTGACTTAAGGTGGATCCATTTAGATTTTCCTTCAACGTTTCCAGTTTGCAGAGGATACTTCGAACTATATGTACTGAAGCTTTCTGGGCTTGCTGACATTACTCGGCTGAGAAAAAACTTAATTACTTCAAAAAAATATCCTTAAATTTATGAACAAGGGACCACTGTTGAAAAAATTCCTGTCCATTGTCGATTCATGATAAAACCTTGGTTCTTCTCTAAATTGATAGAGAAATGCGTGAAATGCGTCAAAAATTTAACGATATTTTTTAAGTAATTAATTGTTTTCTCAACCAGATAATGTCAGTAAGCAGGAAAAAATTCAAAACTAGAAGATATCACTGGTGTTTGGCTTACTAAAGATTTTTTCGCCTTACCTTACGGCTAGTTTCGTTCGAAGCAAGCATTTTGAAGCAAAACGCTGAGTACAGAAGTTGTTCAGAATCGAATTCTGCAGCCTCTAACGAGAGATTTTTTTGAGTTTTTGAACTAAATTTTACCGTTTTTGAAGTTTTAAAATTTCGTATTCCTTAATTTAAAAACCAAAAAAGGACAATTTTAAAAAAACCTCTCGTTATTCGATTCTGAACAACTTTTGTACCCAGAGTTTTGCTTCAAAATGCTTTCTTCGAACGAAACTAGCCGTAAGGTGAGGTGAAATAGTTTTAGCTCTAAAACTCTCTCGGAAAGGTTAAATTTCTGCGTCGAACTTCATTCGCCAACAATGAAAAATATTTCTTCCTATAAAAGTTAATGTTCTCTATCGAACTACGCTGGAATCAACTCTTCATCTCAAAAACTGAAGTTTTTATTGAAATTTTAAAAATAGGTCCAAAAACTGAAAACAAAAAATTCAAAATTCGTTTTATTAAAAACCACAAATCCGGGAACCGAAAGCTTTGTTGAGACATAAACGCCGAAGTGTCCCCTACAAACTAATACAAATCAACTAATTTCTTACAGATTTATTTTTTTGCTGTTTTATAGATTCGTAATACGTGGCAGTTGGATCCACTATCGTTTAGAATAAGAAATCCACAATGGTCAACTCTTATATTATCTGGATTAAAATCTCAAATACTGAAAGATTTAGGTTTCATTTCTGATTATCCAATCGATTTACAGCTTTATAAATTGTTATTATACGAAAAAGGAAGTTTTTTTAAATCACATCGTGATAGTGAAAAAGTGCGAGGAATGTTTGCCACATTGGTTGTGCTTCTCCCATCATCGTATAGCGGTGGTGAATTTATTATTCGACACAATAAAGTTGAACGTAAATTTGATTTTTCCGGAGCTGAAAGACAAAATGATTATCATTACATTGTGTTTTATGCTGGTTGTGAACATGAAATACGGCCAATCCACAGTGGTTATCGTTTAGCTTTGATTTATAATGTCATTTCATGTTCAACCACTATTCCCTCACACGCAACAATATTTGATAAAACACTTGTTCAAGATCTTTCTCACTTATTGAAAATGTGGGCTTCTGATGTTGATAGTCCATCAAAATTAGTTATTAGACTCGATCATCAGTACACGAAAGCGAATGGTGTTACATTATTATCATTGAAAAATAAGGATCGTGTTCTAGTCAATTTATTGCTACAAGCAATAGAGTGTTCCAAAGAAGACGATAGTGCTTGTCAACAATCGTATCCGTATGATGAATTTATATTGGGTTTGGGATTATTAACGCGCTATTTAGATAGACATGAAGAGTTATATAGGTATATTGATGATGAAGAAGCACTAAACCAAGATAGAAGAAACGTACAAAATTATATTAAAAATTTCACACTTATTAGTAAAAATGAAACCAGTTTAACTAAATTAACGAACTCCTGTGATTTCGATGAAACGAAAAAAATTCCTGTGAAGAATTGTGAATTATTATACGACAATACATGGAATTTACAACATCCAGGCGATTCCAATCAACATTATACCGGTATACATTTTACAAGAGTTTTTGGCGTTTAGACCATTCTAGTCTGAAAGATTTCGACACATTCTATCCCAACGATAATTCCAGAAATGAAGACGATATAGTATACTCGGATTTTGTCCAAACTAACTGATGTGAAGTGTTTTCTAAGCAATCTACTTCAAAGAACACCATCATTCATCAACTGTACCATTGAGATAAAGGATATGAAAATTTGTGTAGAACAACGTGGAGTTATTAAAATTGAAATATGAGAAGTAGCAGAAACATAGTTTGTTTATACATCATTCTCACTCGTCAGGATTAAAATTATCACATTTAGAACTAACATATGCTTTACTCTTCTTGTTAAGTCTAATTTGTTTTTATATATTGACTATAGTGCGATTTGACGATAGTTGACTTTGTACACGACATAACCTTACTGGGATTATTGGTGAGGATATCTTTAGTGTATAATTTATCACAATCAGTATTATCTAATGCTCGACATGATTCTGTTCTATCAATGGATGTAATTATTCTATCAATAGCATCGAGATTTTTATTTGTTTCATGCTTGTAATCGTCTTCTTTTTGTCAAGGGCACCCCCCCCCCCCCCCCCCCCCTCCCATCCCGTCGTCACTCTTTTTTGGTAAAAAGCTTTTAGCTGAACATAGTCTAATGTAGAGAAAAGTCTAGGCCGTAAAATGAGACCACTCTCAGCTCTCCACCACCTTCCCTGAAAAACTTACAAAGTTTTTAAGTTTTTACTTCAAAGCCTAGAAAACCTCAAACTTTTCTCTCCTTTACTATATATTCGAATGAGACGTCTTTCAGCAGAATTTTTGTTCCATATCTGGTATAAATTTCACTCCGATCACACATCGGCTTCCACGGTTTTCAAGAGGATCAAAAGCGATGAGGGGTATTCTTAAGAAGCCCCCTCAGAAATTCAAATTTTCTGTAAAAATTGCGATATGAACTTACGCATATGCTTAGATAGCCCTTCTTGTCTCCTTTCACAATACATCCTAAAAAATCATAATCATCACACTCATTCAGAAGTTTTTGAGAATCCAAGGTCAGAAACCCTCCTTCAACGTACGGGAGTTTTGTTCATACGCTTTAAGCTAGAGATCTCGAGTTTGTTTTGTTTCAAACTAGACATCTAACTACGTGAACTAAGCAGACCAGATTTTTTATTTAGGTCTCTGCTGTTTTCTAAAGATCCAACAGCCTCGAAATCCGATAAGTTTGCGAAAAATCGTTGATTTTCTAAACAACAAGGGTTTGATTCAAAAATCGACCCTCATTAACCCCCATGAAACTCTTCGCTCTTTCTATCAAAACTAATTAGCTTTCTATGATCTTTCGCCATGGAGAAATCTTACAATTACGGAAGGCTACGAAGACAGAAGTCGCTTTAAAGAAAAGAAAGAACAAAGAAAAGTTGAGTTTCTAGTGCTCTTAGAAATACTCTTATAAGTTTGGACCAGGGTGTCGCAGAGAACTCCGCAAAGTCTCATTTTGAAGGCAAATGTTTGTCTGGCGTTTTTAGATAATAAAATTACAGAATATTATTGAAATTTCAGGAGAGTTTTGAAGATTTTCAAATGACTGGTGTTGTGAGAGTTTTAGAAAACGTTTTCAAAATTCTTCAAAAACGTAGATAAAGGATTTTCCAGCATCGGTTCTGAAAGTAGACACCAAGACTGTCTAAGCATATGCATAACTTTATATCACAACTTTTGGTATAATTAATCAATGTTGTTGGAATTAGAATCAATTTTGTAAAATATATAATATATCATAGTGAATATTAAAAATACAATAATGTATTACGATGTATGATTATAACCGTGACCGACTTATGCATTAAAATGCATCAAAGATGCTAGGTTTAGTTGCTTTTTTGGTTTCTACGGTACTAATAAAGCCGCATCTGATCTGACGAATCACTAGCTTTTGATGATGTTTAGCCCGTTGCACACGATACTGATATCAAAGACGATGAGTTGTAGTTGAAATAAAGAATGTTTTGTTACTTTTTCATGTGTTTTCATGCTGTATGATAACGATGACGTGTATATTGAGTTGATCTTTTGATAAAAGCCCTTCTGATGTCACGATACAATTAGCATCATCAAGATCCTCCGTCTCATATGCATTGTTTAGAATGCTCCCATCATCTGCATCATTATAATCCTTTGATAGTGTTGTTAGATCATGTACACTACCACGTGTTCGATGAGTAGGAACGGCAATATATTGTGTTGTATTACTAGCCATTTATCGGTGTTTATCTACTAGAATTATTTCAGTGTTGTTAATATCTGCGCAGAATGTAATGAAAACGATGTGTATGATGTATGCTAAAATGAAGGAATAAACTTTCTTTGAACTACTCCGTTCTTACGCATGGTGAATGTCTTGTAGTTATCAAAACCGAAGTTGATGGAATAAAATTATTTTTTTGTTTTCAGTCGACTATTCACGTGTCATGTTGAAGTGCGTAGTTATCTGTATGTTGAATAGGCGGTAGAAATAGTAGTTTCTTATTACATAATATATTATTAAATACGTATAAATTTTTAAATGTTCTTGCCTTCCTTCTATCATTAAATGAATAACTACTCTGTTCAATTTCTATTTATAATGGTTACTGTTGTTTTTGTTTTTTTACCACAAAATAGTATATTTCTATTTACAGTTCATTCTTGTTTTATATCGTTATTGATTCTAATAATACGGCTAGCGGTGAACAATTTTGAGCCATGCATAAAATAGACTACATTTAAGTGATAAAGTGTAACAGGTGGAAGATGAAAAGTTGAAGTAATATATAAAAAAGTTAAAAAGTCAAGAAAAAGACTAGACGAAAAGATGTGGCGTGGATGAAGTTAAATTTTATTAACGTTCTACTAATTAATCATAAAATCTGTTAGTTTGTTGTTTCAAGTCGTTCAGTAAAAGTGCGTCGACTGTAATGGTGGTTAGAAAATGTAATTTATGTTTCAGATTTTGTCTCTCATTGTTATAGAGACTGCACTGAAGGAAGTAATGTTCAATATCCTTCTTTCCATTCTCACATTTATCTTTAGGCTAGTCTACACACTTTCGTTTGTATGGATAAAAGTTTAAAGGAAAAACATCAGACTTTAATCTCGTAAAAATGATTTGATCTCATCTAGTAGGAAATTTTAGTCGCTTTGGAAAAATCTTAGATGTTGATAGCTCAGATTTTAACATATTGCGCATTTTCGAAATCTTCATTGTTAAAAATTCCGGATTTTTCTGTATCAGATTATTTCATTCTTGAGTTACAACAGTAAAAAAGTCATCATCAGTACTATCTACCGGATTATTTGTAGATTTTTGATTACTACGTAAACTACATCTATCGTGGGCCGGATAGCGTTGTGAATGAACACTAATATATTGGGGAGTAAATCCTTTTACTATTTCAGCAAAAAATAACAAACGAAGTATTCTAAAATGATCTTTTATTATGATCCAACCTAAATATCAAATAATTTGTCCTTCGCTGATCCCTTCATTGCTCCTAAAGTAGATAAAGCAGAATAATACTGCATACTCTGCAGTTTATTCAAATTATTCGATCTACTCAATGAGTAGATGACAGCATCGTAGTTCAAAATTGATAATACACAAGATTTAAGTTAACAATAATTTCAAGTGCATTTTTAGTCAATAAATACTTATGCAGTTTCATTAATCCTACAACAGACGATGGTTTAGTATGCATCTTTTCAATGTGAAATGTCCACTACATGTTACTCGTAAAAAACATACCTAAATATTTAACTACATCTTTTTGAGCAATTGGAACACCATATAACATTAAGGATGGTAAGGTTGATGCTTTGTTACTATAATAACGCGAATTAAAACTTTTTCCTTCATACGTAGCCCGATTAAAAGGAACATGACATTTCTCTGACCACTAACTACTATCCGTTCCAAATGGTCAGACCGCTGATTGCTTTTTGAATAACTTTTGATAGGAATGAGATAGAGACCTGCGATTTTCGCTGTCCAATAACCAAGACTTGAGCAGAACTTTCCACAAGCGAAAGCAACTTTTGACAAAATTCCAGAGAGCGGAT